TGGATAGAGCACACACTTAAAAAGCAAAAGACAAATGTTAAACTCTCAAACACATTTAGCATCTAATATTTCCATAAGTCCTAGGGGTTCTTCACACAGAACCTTTGAACAAAGAGCCAACTATCTGTGAAGTGTGCCATTATCTATCCCAAATGTAAGGCAAAGAATGGCGTCTGTAAAAATAAGGCTCAGTGTTAAGCACCTGACTACACTTGGATCATCAAAAGCTGAAGCGTTTCAAATCAGTAAAATGAAGTGCAGCTGCATCTCACCACTCTGGTTTGCTGGAATCCTTTGGAGATTTCAAGGGTAATGATTCTAAACATGTCTAAAGTGTTTATTCTAGGCTCCAATGCTTGCTTTGAAAGCCCAAAGTGGAATCAAGTTCATTGCCCACTGTGAAGAGATTAAGGGATAGTGTCATTACCATTGTTCCCACTCCTACTCTTGGCTATGAAGAACTCTAACACATGCTACCCCTGGAGTTTCATGGTAGAGCCCTGCAGCCTGTAGGTCTGACTGACTGGTTCAAGGATGTGTTCACTACTTTGGGACCCCTGAGTTGAGAACAAACTTTGCTAGGCCAGTGCTTCTCAAGCGTGGTTCCAGGATCACAGTCCGCACCCTGAGGTAAGCTCTCAGTTGCCAGTCTTAAGCTGCAGCCTCCTTAGGTGGGCAACCCCCAACCCTATTTGTGAAAGGCCAGTATTTCTGATGCTAGCATTTGACAACCACTCTCTTTGAGGGATAAGACACCCCGATCAAAGGACAATCTCAGGTGACAGGAACAGCAAGGAACACCTTGATGGCACGGTCCAGAACTGAAGGAGCTCTGGCTCGGAACTCATTAAACCTTACTTCTCTGGCCCAGATGGAATACATAAGTTTCCTGGGATCATCAGGTATGAAGAAAACTTGGATCTTCTTAGGTTTAAAAAAAAAATCTCCCAGGTTTTTCTTTGCTCTGAGACAGTCTCATATAGTCCAGACTGGCATCAAACCCAAGGATTATCTTCAACTTCTGGTCCTCTTGCCTCTTCTTCTGGAAGTTCTAGGATTACAGATGGGTGCCACCATTCCTGGGGTATGCAGTACTGCATGCCACCAACAGGGCTGCATACCTGGGTCCCTTACTTTTGTCAGTTTTCCAAGCCCTTCCTCATCCCTGTCAGTCATGGGTAAAGTACAATGTTATGCTACTGTAGCATCATGTTATTGCTCCAATGAATTGAAAACATTCCTAAATTCTCTCCAGGGAAATCAACACCACATAACTAATGTTTTTGGCTTGTGTTGTTTTAATTTAATGTGTAAGGGTATTTTGCTTAACGTTTATCTGTGCACGTGTGCAGCTGATGTCCAGGGAAGCCAGATGAGGACACGGGATACCCTGAAACTGGAGTTACAGGTGGTCATCAGCCACCATAAGGGTGCTGAAAATCAAGTCTGGGTCTTCTGCAAGAATAGCAAGTGCTCTTCACTGTTAAACCATTTTTTTCAGCCCCAAGACTCATCTTTTAAAAATTCAGATTTGGGGGCCTATCTTTTCTATATACTCCTCTTTGCTCTCTTAGTGCTTTTGTTTTAAAAAGTTTCAGTTCATTGTAAGGTCACTATATTTCACATTCATTGCATTAAACATCTGATCCTCTTTTGTCCTATTAAATAAGAACTGACCAGATGGGCATTTCTCTACTCTCTCTCCTGAGCAGGTTTTAAGCAATTAAAAACGATTATTTTTACTACCTATTTTATGTATCCGCCAGATGTTATCTGTGGTCATTTCTGGAAAAGATCACCCTGTGGAGGTTATAATACATATTTTCCTTTGGGAACCTGGACTCCTGAGTGCGATCAGGAAAGCACATGAAATTGATTTACTCTTGTATGCTTGTTCCACTGACAAACTAGACCTAATAGCTCAGTGTCTCTGAAGGCAAAGATCTAGTCAGAATTTTCCTTCTTTGTATCCTTGCATTCTGGACCTACTTGTGTTGAGTCAGAAACAGAAAACAAACAAAACCCATCTCTCTGGATATCAGCTTCCCACTGTACTTTGATTTTTTTCCAAAGAACTGATTTGACTTCCATAGTTGTCTATGCATGACATAGGAAAGTGCTGGCTCATTCAGGACTGGAACTCCTTACCAATGGACACACTTCCAGATGTCACTGATGGTGTCTGTGCAGCTCTTCCTAAGCCAGTTCATGTGCATTTCTCATTAGTGCTGAAATGATCCAGAATGAAGCAAAGAATTCATAATTATAGAACTGCTCTGTGATTACACATGTCATTTTCTCCCCATGCAGACACAAATTGGAAATATTTTTTCCTGAAACAAAGACAGTCTGTTAAAAAATGTAGAGCTATAGTCATCCAATGTTGTGACGTTATAACCAACAGAAAACTCCACCACACTATCACATAACTGAATGGGTACGCAGAGGCAGCCTCAAAAAACACCACGTCTGACCAAACTCACCACCCAACCACAATTTTGAGATTTGGAATGATGGGGTCAATCAACAAGCAAGAGCATTTCAGGTTTTAAAACCTGCAATGTCCTGTCAAATACTTCAAGATGAGGCAGTGTGGATTCTGGCTTTGGGCTAACTCTTGTTTTTGAGACAGCATCTCACTCTGTGGCCTGTGTTGCCTGGAACTCTCCGTGTGGATCAAGGATGGTCCCCAAGTCACTGAGACCTGCCTTAAAGACACTAAGGGCATGCACCCATGCACCCAGCTTCAGCTCTGGCTTGAATGTAACTTTGAGGAAGTGATTTTTCTACTCTTTCCCCATGTACAGAATGACAGGTTTCAATGAGACTGTTCTCTGAAGTCTCTTCAAGTCCCATTGCATATGATTGTAAACTTTAGGCCTATCCTGCTTAATCACAACACTGTAACCATTTTTGGGAGGGAGAGGAAGGTTGCTCCTACTAACTGCATCTTTTCACACAGAACCTAATTGTGTGAAGCATCTGTCCCCAGTACTCTGATGTACACAGATTTCCTTAGAGTAAAACATGGTCATCTTAGAGATGACCTTTTCTTTGTGCTTAATAGCAATCTCCATCAGCTGGGATGTCCCCCATTAAAGTCACCTGTGTAACACGCAGATAAAGAGTCAGGTAAGATGAGCCAGGCATGCCTCATGAAGAACCCCAAAGTCCTTAGAACAAACTGTCCCTCAAAATATAACATTATTCACCTTTGGCTCAGGTCACACTCATCAGCTTCTAATAGGTTTGAGAGACTCACCAGTCTTAATTTCCTGCATGCATCTGTGATTGTCCACAGAGGTCAATTTCAGGGGCTGCCTCATATAAATTAAAAATGAAGATAATGATGCCTGTTCACCTGATCAACTGACATGACCAGCTGGGTTTAATGGGAGGAAAACAGAAAACTGAAATGAAGCTTCGAAGGTGATAGGTATAATTATTTTTCGTAATGCTTCTTCTCTGAAGGAAGCTGGCCACGGCGCTGGTAAGCCCCGCACGCAGTTTGAAGCTGAACACGGCATTCTGGCTAAGGCACCAGACAGGAGTCAGTATTCTGCTACAGCGCCGGGAAAAGCAGGGTTCCTTTTCTGCTCTTGTTTTAGTTGTTTCCTTTACAGTTAGTGAGGTGCTTTGAGGGAATTGCTTAATTGACTCCCGAGAGGCAAATTCTAATTTAGATCGGTACAAAGTGTTTTCTCTTTCTAGCCATAAAACATTTTCTTGGATTTGTTCTAATTATCCTTGGGGTGATGTGATCTTGGGTCTGAACGCCCCATTATGTCACCTGCCCTCACCCCTTCACTTCACAGAAGCAGACACAGGTCGGAGGATGCACACACACCAGACCAACGTCCCAAGGTTAGATAGAGGTTAGAACTGCTGCACAAAATGATGAACAAGACTGACCCAGGCCGCCACTTCTGCTTGTAATTAACAGGAGAGGTATCAGAGAAAAGTGGAAGAAGAAACAGAGAGGGAGGGAGGGAGGGAGGGAAGGAAATATTGATTCTTGATGCAAAGGCACCATTTACAGGACTCGGGTTCCAAAACATGGTAGAAGGGTCAACAAGCAAAGAATTTGGAGGAAGGCTGGAGCCACACAGCAAAGGAGCACACAGAGCATGACATCAGTCACATGTCACAGCTTAGTTCATGGGTCCCTGGCTGCATGAAGGTGACTCACAGAAGCGACTGCAGACTCAGCAGCCCGCCTCCCACCTGGCTTGCTGATTACTCACTCACTATTTCTTTTTGTCGTCCCGGGTCATCAAGTCAAAGGCCTCTCTCACAGGCCACATGGGCATGCCAACCCTACCCTGTGCCTACTTCTCCAAGCTTGGGCTTATTTGTCTATGTGCATGCAGGTAAACGCATGAGTGTGTGTGGAAAGCAGAGGCCAGCAGAATGTCATTCCTCGGATGCAGCCAGCCTGGTTTTTAGACAGGAGCCTGCACAGTAAGAGGCCTGGCCAGGGCTGGAGTCACAAGCAGGTGCCACCACTGCCCAACTTTATTCCCTCCTCCTCCTGCCCCTCCTCTTCCTTTGTTTTCTTTTATAAATAATGTAAAGAAATTAAAAACAACACTGACCACCAAGCCTGCCAGGCAGGATGGTGCTCCTGGCTTAATATTATTATTATTATTTTGAGACGGGGCTTCTCTGTAGCAGTCTACCCTGGAACTCCCTCTGTAGTCCAGGCTGACCTCAAACTCACAAGATCTGCCTGCCTCTGTCTACCCAGTGCTGGAATCAAGGAATCAAAGGCATGTGCCACCATACCTAGATAAAAGTTTGCTGGTTTGTTTTCTGTTTGTTTGTTTTGAGACAGATTTTCTCGGTGTAGACGAGGCTGGCCTTGAACTCACAGAGATTCACTTGCCTCTGCCTCCCTAGTGCTGGGATTAAAGGTGTGCACCACCACCTTGGCCTGCTCCCAGTATTTCTAAGCTCCAGCCCGGAAATGGTCCCCACCCATCAAAAGTAAACAAAACAAATAAACACAGAGACTTCTGTATTTAAAGACTCGGTGATATTAACATTTTCTCGTAAAAACCTCAAAATCTAGTAGCAAAACAATTCATGAACGTGGTCTGTTCCGCACAGCAAGTCAGGTAAACAGCCACGGCAGGTTCCGCACTCAAGATCAGCACAGGGAGGCTCAGTGTCCTTTTGCCGTAGCACACGCTTTAATTTTTACTATATATTACTCAATTGTTTGTTTGTGTGTATCAGAGGTGGGGGCACGCATGTGTGGATGTCAGAGGATGGACGTCGGAGTCGGCTCTCCCGTCAGCTGTGCAGGTACTGAGAACTAAGCTGGGGGCGTCAGGTTTGGCAGCAAGCTCCCATCTCTGCCAAGCCCTCTTGCCTGCCCTAGAATCTCACGTCCCAGGCAGTTAAATTTCATTTTCCCCCTCAGAATTTGCTGCAGTACAGGCCATTAGAACCACTTTATTCTAAGCTTTTCAGAGAAAATCTTCACTTAATAAATGTACATCTCCTGGCAATTAAGACCAGTTCAGCCTCACCTGATCTGAGTTCCACATTACAGATTCAGTTGGTTTGTTTCCTTTATTCTTTCGAGTTAATTTCAGTGGAGATTTTTAATGAGGAAAAAGTCAGTTACCTATTCTTAAACCTTAGCAATTATGCAAAAATATTTTTTAAAAAATTGTTGCAAGTTGCTTTTCTGGGCCGGCTGCTGACCTAAGACATCGGGAGATCATGATAAGCTGCGTATCGTCCGGTCACGTGATGGTAAATCTGTGAGGAAAACCAGTTTCATTAATTAATAAGTAAGCAGCCACACACATTAAGTCGTAATTATACCATTGCACAATAATAATTTCACTTGGCGTTGAGTTGGTGCAAAGCAGAACTGGCACCTGATCTGCAGCAGGTGCGGGTTCGCCGGAAGGCGGTGGAGACTTGGCGCTGAAGCCGCTCACCTCCTCTCCTTCCGGGGACAGTCAGACTCACCTGCCTCTCGATGTCCGAAAGCAGAGAGCTGGCCCCAATGCGGAAGAGCTCAGGCGTCAGCCACTTGTCCCCCAGTTCCTCCTTCACCAGAGAGAGCCACGCAAGGGACTCCTTTGCGGTGCGGATGCCTCCTGCAGGCTTAAAGCCGACCTAAGCGGGAGGAGAGAAGAGCAGCCATTGTCACCGGGCTGATTTCAAAAGGGTCAGTGCGAGTACCTTCTTCCTAGGCTTTCACTTCGGCAAAGGGACCTATCTCAGCAGCATCACCTGACTATACTTCACAATAGTTTTTCCAGCATAAATGGGATCTGGGCCACTGGGGCAAAAATGAGGGCGCATGTCACTCCTTTAAACCTCCACACTTCTAGAGTAAAGCTGCACAGCTGGAGAAGCCAAGGAAAGCGTCAGGAGACAAGAAAATACACCCCAGATGTCCATCCGGTCTCCACTGCTTCCAGTGAGCTTCAAGGATCATGTGGACTCAAGACAGGATCCCTGTGGCCACAAGGTCAACTTATCCCTCTGGCAGCCATCAGCAAGGAGAACTGATAGAAGCTTTCCCCAACTAAACTGCAGATTTCTTAGGAGGCTGTAGGCACAGAGTCCTATAAGGCAGGTAAGCCATTAGTGCATGCATGGGGAGAAAATGTTGCCTTGCCTTTCAGTCTATAAATCAGCGCAATTCATGGCCAAGAGGCTGAGAGCCATCTTAAAGCCATGCTTTTCTAGAGGAGTTCAGTTCTCAGCACTCACGTTGAGGGGTTTGGGTGCCCTTTACTGGCACCCATAAACACATGGAGCACACAAACAAACAGGCATGCATGTACACACACACACACACACACACACACACAGATAAATCCTTCAAGACACAGCCCAAATCAGCCAATATCTGTTGTTTCTACGTGATGTCTGATATCTGTCAGGAAGAGAAGAGCAGGTTCCATGTGTAGCAACTTCATGGTCCCCTGGTTTGCTTGTCCTTGGAACCATCTGAAAGAAAAGACAAATCTACATACACAAGCCACCAAACCACATGGTGGCCTTTTTCAAATAAATCACACTAGCAGGGACCAGTACACACAGACTAGAGAAAGAAGCCAATGAATGAAAGGTCCTGCAAGCAAGAGGGAAACCTCACTGTAAATCTGACCACCGCCATGAGCAGGGTTACGAATGATCTCCTAGGTGTTCCCCCTGCCTCAGACACACATGGCAGAGCCATTGCTGAGGAATGGCAAGCAAACAAAACGAAGTCAGTGAACCAGCGGTGGCATGTACGTTCATCAGAGAAGCCTTTCTGCAAGTTGGGGGGCGTTCATAAAGACTTCATAAAAATATTTCAGCGTCAGCGACTTCATTCAGTCATGTTTCCAGAAAAGAAGTTCTTGCATAAGTTAATACTGTTTAAGGGGGAGGATACAGAAAACATAAATCTGTAATGAAACTGGTTGTGAAATATTAAAGTGCAGCTTCTCAGGGGTGGCAGCAAGCACAGTCCGGGAAGGCGGGCTTTTGCACCGTATGACACGGCTTACATCAATGAAGGGGGAGCTAGTCCAGGGCCTCCTGTGCTTAATGTCAGCAACTTGGAAGCCAGGCCTGCTTTGCGGATGCATACAAAGACACGTACAGGTTCTCCTTGCTGGAAATCAACGTGATGAAGTAAATAGGATGTGTCTTGCACTTGGGTTTTTTTTGAGACTAAGTGGGGCATTGGCTGTTAGGGTGGGGAAAGAAAGAATGGGAAAATGAGCAAAATGCCCCTCCAAGGTCCAGCCTGGACCACTGGACACCCACCGTGTTCTCTGAGGCCTGTTCTGAAAATACATGTTCATGTTTACACCTGAGAATTAACGCATGGCCTGTGATCGCCCACTCAGGAACTATTCCTTTAGTCCCCAGTGACATGCTTTTTTATCCCTAACAATGGAGGTCATGCAACATGGATGCCTAGGAAATCTCCCAGACCCATGGCCACCAAGGCTGGGAGGCTGGGAGTCCCCCGTGCATGGCAAGTTGAGTACCTGATTTTGATGTTCTCAGGCAATGCTTTATCAGAAACCTTCTGTGACCCAGCAGAATGGGGTTGTTAAGCGACCTTAGCAATGAGTCCCATGAGCCTAACTAGTAGAGGCAGTTACAACTAACAGGAAAAGACGACCTTCTCCTTATACAGCTTTACTTTGAAAACAAAACAATCACAACAAAACGTTCTTTAAATTGGCAGAATTGTATCAATGCAGAAAGTCCATCAAGCAGTATTAATCAGGGTCATCTGAAGGCAATGGCAGGTCATTTTCCTATCTGAACTTAACAGTGTGACTTTGTTCCGAGAAAATACTGGGAGATTATTTCCTCTCGCAAGAAGCACATTCCATATAAGTCTCTAATTCCAAAATAAATCCACTACAGTCATTTATAAAGTCATAAAGACATGCCACCCACCAGGCAACGCATTAAAGGCCTTCTTGAGGGAGGTTCGAGATGGCAGAAATCTAGTTACTGGTTTTTAAAAGCTGCCCCTCATGAAGAGAAGTCTCATTATATTATACATACACACACACACACACACACACACACACACACACACACACACACTTTTCCCTCTGTGCAAAAAAAGTCCTAAGATAATTTGTGAGTAGACAAGCAACTTGAAGTAAAAAAAAAAATCCAAATTCAGTTTTTAAGAAACACCTCGTGCGCATTTCCCTTTTAACTTTTCATGTTTCAAAAAAAATTCTGTTATTCTTCGAAAAGCTGACAAAAGCTAGCATATACCCTCCTGAGCTCGACACTCTTCCAAACAGCACGTCCACCTTCCAAAAACGGAAAAAAATGGATATTTAATTCAAGAGCTAAAGGACAGAGAGCTAGCTTTTCCCTGCTGTTGCACGGCATTTCATTATTCTGTTTAATAAGTTCATCTCCTCGAGAATTTTCTCTTCACCTCATATTATTAAAAGTAATAAGTTTTTCTGGACCGGGGGTTTCCCAACAGAAAAACCAATTTATGTGTGTCCTTCAATAATGACAGGAAAAGATTATTTCCCATTATACTGCCTACTTTTCATATCACCACCACAGCTTATCATTCAATAAATGTTACTCCGCGATTCTTTCCATTCCGTGAGGAAGTTAAATTTCTACATTAACCTGTTTTGGCTGGCCAACGCCTTGCCAGAAAAACCTCTGTGTCGCAGCACAATTAGTTCCTTAAAGAACCCATTTAAGAATCTCTTGTCTGTGATAAAATTGTCTTCAGTTAATAAAAGGACAGAGAGTGGGTTTACACCCCGATCACACGCGCATGTTCCCACACTCACACTCCGTTAATGGCAAACTTTCCCCTGCTGAGGTGTTCTTTTGTAATGAAAGGTAAATTAAACATTTATCTTAATAAAGGCGACTCATTCACACCTTCTGCAGAGGGAGACGGTTATCATGCCAGCTGTGGGGAGGATTATAAATAGCACTCTCTTCACTTTGAAGGAAGATTTGCTGGCAAACACGTACCTTGTTTCCAGTTTTCCAGAAGAAATCTCTAATGGCCCGCAGCATCACGATGGCTACCGGGAAGGTGGCATTCACTGTCTCTTTTCCAGTAGAGGTCTTAATAAAGTCTGATCCTAAAACAACAGCAAGGAAATCTCAGGTTAATTAAAAACTTACTTCTTACACTTAAGTCAGTGAAAGAAATGGGTTGTGTGTGATCTCCCGCACTCCCCCCCACACACAAAACACTTTTTTTTTGTAATTATGTGGAAAAAAAAACTAAAAAGAAAAGCTACCTTTAAAAGAACTCTGTTTATATGTAAGAGCTGGAAGACAGGGAGAAGGGCTGCCGCTTCCGTCTTGTGGGCACAGCCCAGCTGCAGCAGCAGTTGTCACTACCAGGCCTGAACAGGACTAAGACTGAGCCTGTCACGATGGGGTTCTAGCCCTCCCTGCTGAACTTCTTGCTGCCAGCGGATTCCGGGGGAATGGGGCAGTCATTGTCTTTGGCTGACTACCCAAGGCTGAGCCCACCAGGCTCTGAGGACAGTTCTAAACCCAAAGCTGCGTGGCCCTGGTTAGAATCCATGGCTCACAGAACAGAACACAAGGCACCAATGTAGGAAAGGGAAGAAGGGATGGTTGACGGGGGGGGGGGACTGGGGGGTAGGAAGGAGTTAACAGAAAGGTGCTGTGTTCTTACTACTCTTTTCCCACACACGGACATGAAAGCAAAATGAAAAGAAAAAAATTAAGAATTTTGTCTTCCTTCACCACCAGATAAATTAAATTTGCCACTCACTGGATTCTCGTAGACTCTGGTGCTCCTGCCTCCGTGTCTCACGCCAATTAAAATCAAGTTGGTTTGCTTAATGCATAACTGGGATGAATAAAAACAGTTTTATGGCCTGTGCTCGCTACCATGTATCTTGACACTTTCCCACACAACTGTGGTGGGGTTCCTGCTCGTTCCCCTCATTCTCTCACTCTCTGTGGAAAGCACACGGCACACTTGTAGCAGCCCCAGAACTGGTGCGAGCTGACTTCTGTCGCATTGATGAAGCGGTAGGCCTCCCAAGCCAGATGAGGATGTGATGACAGATACCGTGCCCTTTCCTAGTTTGCAATGTTTTCAACAGCTTTCTTCTCCTGAGTCTTTAACCTGTTCATGTAAGAACAGCATGAGACAAATATTAACAGTGGCAGGGACTGGCACCTAGGTGCCTCATGGGTGGTCCAGCCTTACCATGGTTACCAAATATGGATAGGAACTATCTTCAAAGAGGGCACTGAGGCACGAAAAAGTTAGGTAGCTTCTTTAAAGTCACATGACATAGAGTCTCTCTCTTAAATTATATGTGCTCATGAGAGTGTGTGTGTGTGTGATTTCAGCTAAAGCAGTCTACCTTAGCTTGTCTGTTAAAAGTGTCCCGCTTATCTGGGGCCACACAGGCAGCCAGAACAGAGATGCCTTCCTTCAGGTGGTACCTAACCCAGCAGAGCTCACAACCCAACCCATCTATGCACAGCAAGGGACCACCAGATACAGCTAGAGAAGAACGTTCTGGAGCTTGCTTCACATACGCATGGTGGTAAAAATTGGAGTATAAGCTTTCAACACGGAGAAATGGCAAATGGCTGAATACATATATTCATACAGATTTGAATATTACCCAAGGAATAAATATATTGAAACATCACGTGGTCACTTATGTTCAATTTTTCCCAGTTTAAATGAATTGCATTTTTGAATGAGAGAAATCCATATTCTCTGTCCCCACCACACACCAAACTGAACCAGACTTTGACAAACACACACAAGGCTCTCAGCTGCACTTAGGTGCAAGTTCACAGCTCCTGTCCAGGGAATCCATGGAACAATACTTAAAACTAATTTGAGTCTCTCAGAGTCTATCAAAGAAATGTGGGACAGAACATGAAGAAACAACCTAAATCTTCCCATAAAGTGTTGGTTTGAAAAGATTCTTCCACAGCTCTCCTATGCACCGGAAGCCTCAGTTAGACCTGCCTTCATTATACATGCTATGAAGGCTCACATGGAAAACGTGAAAGCAAATGCACAACCTTGCCTTCAAAACCACAGCGACCCTAGGGAATAACATGAGGACTTGGGAGGCCCCTGACTCTACAAGCCAAATGAAAGCATGGACACGTCTGTCATGCAGCAACACGCTGCTCCTCTGTCTGCTGAAGTTATGACTTACAGAAAGAGGGTTTTGAGTCTCCTGCTGCAACTTGTCGTGAGTTGTGTCAAAGTCTGACTGTCATAATTTGATGCTCAGTTGCTAGGTACAGACTTTTTAAAATGCATGCATTTATTCATTTTATATTGATGCGTGTACATGCGTATGTGCGGGCATGTATATGTGTGCTCGCGTGCACATGTGATGCTAGGGATCACATGTGAAAGTCTGAGAACTGAGGGAACCGAGTCTCTCCTTCCACCACGAAGGTTCCCAAGACTGGACTCGGGTGGTCAGCATTGAGGCAAGTGCCCTTACTCACGGAGCCATCTCACCCTAAGTACGGACTTGTCAAGGACTCTTATGCCTTGTTGGAAAAAAAAAAGAGTTCATTTGCCAAATATAAAACCTCTTCTCTAAGCCTTCACGATGCTCCTATGGTCTGTGTTGTGTGGAATTAATACAGCTGCTCCTACAGGCTAACAAAGTGTGTCTTTCTCCAACCCTTAACTTTTTTAACTTTTGAGTGTTTATCGTGGATTTCTTATAAACATTCAGTAGTGGCTCGGTGGACATTTTTGTTATTGTTGTTTTGTTTTTTAAGACCATTAAGTGGTAGATTTAAATCATTAACATTTAAAGTGATTATTGATTCTGTCGGATTAATATCTACCATATTTAAGCCTCTTCCATGTGTTACATTTTTTGTTTAATTTTCACACCCTCTTTGGGTCTTCTCTGACTTACTGAGCATTCTACATGATTCTACATGATTCCATTTTCTCTTCTCATCATAGCAATTATCCTTTTCTCATACACTAGAGACTGGCCCAGAATATTTAATACTTAGTTCTTCCACATTCATCTCGGTCCATCTTCAGATAACAGTGGGCACTGCTAGTTCCTTTGCCTTTTAATGAAGGGTTCCTAACTGTTCCTTCTGTCTGTCAAGGTCAGAGTTTGTGGCCTTTCCCCCCAAAGGTCTTCTTTAAACACTTCCTGGGGGCTGTCCTCCAGCACTGCTTCCCTCAGCTTTTCACTGGAGAGCCATGGAGAGGGACAAGAGCATGTTACAGAGCTCCACTGCTAGGACCACTCCACTCGCTGCTGACCTGCTTTCAGGTGACAAGTCTGCTGGGAACATTTCCTCCATCTTGGGTAGGTAATGTGTTTTCTTTCTCTGGCTTTAGTTTTTCCAAGATTTCCCATTTGCCTTTGGCTTTCTCCTATTTGCATATGCCACACCTAGGAACAATTTTCTTTTTCAGTCTTCCTTGGCATTCTCTGTCCTGGATCTGTGATATATGGCCTGCCCTTAATTTTGGATCATTTGTGGCCATTATTCTCCCTCTGTAAAGTTTCTCTCTCTCTCTCTCGCTCTCTGTCCCTCTCGTATTATAATTGCACAAGTGTTATGACTTCTGAAAATTTCCCCAAGTTTTTGGAAGTTCTGTCTTTCCTAGCCACTCCTGGCCTGCGAAGTGTCCATCCACCTATTGTCACAGTCAAATGGCAAAGCAGAATCTGGAAGTATTAAGTTTCAAGCCAAGTCCTTCCATCCTAGAAATCAGAATACACATGGTACATGTAAGAGATATTTCTAGACAGATGCCAAATAAATATGATGGTGAGAAAGTACTGCGAAGTTCAAACTGATCTGCTAAACTACACTAACACAGGTGAGATACATGCAATTTGTTACAAACAAAACTGAAAGATGTGGAGGTATGTGGGAGAGCCTTGTCATCAGACACAAACAGCAAACCCAGAGGACAAACCATATCCTCCACGTATGTAGGCTGCTGGGGGACATGAGGCAATTACAGAAACATGTGTCTTAGGGGTGCTACTGTTGGCCTGGGGACGAGTCAGCATATGTGAAGCCTTGGGTTCCATCAAAGCTATGATTAACGTTTCTCACACTAAACAGACCGTTTTGAACCTGCAAACATCTGGCTTTTGTCCTTGGGGTGGTATGAGGTCTGATCACATGACTCTAAGGTTTACAGATGGGGCCTTTACTGTCAGTTTCAGATATCAGGAAGAAGAACAGCAAAGAATCACATAGCACATAGTTCAGGCATTTAGGAACTGGCTTCCATTAAATTTCAAAAAAAAAAAAAACAAAAAAAACATCAAGATCTGATTACACAGAGAATTTTAGAAAATGCATTACCTCGCTGCTTTGCCACTGGACTCTCCAGTGAGACTAGGGAGTCACACTTTTGTTTCATTTCTCATTTTAATATCTCTTCCTCCTGCCCTTTGCTAAAACAAAATTACCTCAGAGAAATACATGCTGCCTTCAGAATCAGCAAAAGCCCAGAGCACTATCACCTCTCTTCAGAACATGTGTAGATCCAGCCACAGCCAACCCCACCTCAGAACCCAGCCACAGCCAACCCCA